GTTTTAGCATCTTCCACAAGAGTCAGAAAACAAAATTTTCATTTAAATTTTATGACATTTCAATTTTTCAATTCAAGTGATTTTGAAATTACTCTCTGAATAGGGATGCATTTAAGAATTTCGAAAAATTTTATGAATATGTATATTGTAGAAATTTCAAGAAATCCAGCCAGATTCCTGCAGTGATAAAAACTTTTAAATAGAACATATGGAATACTATTATTGGGAATGGCAAGCAATACCATCTTAAACAAATTTCTTAGAATCGCGACGGAAGCTCAATGATATACGAAAAAGAGAATATTCACAGATATGTAGATGTAACTTTGATCAAAAGATGAATTTAGAAGAAAACGTGAAGCGTATTTGGCATGTTCATTCTAAACCTTGAAAGGTTTCTCACTGGAACACAAAACCATTGAGGGTAACACAGGTCAACAAATGTTAAATCCTGATATCAAAATGGATTGAATAGATAGATAGATAGATAGATAGATAGATAGATGATAGATGATAGTAGATAGATAGATATATATATAGTATGATAGATAGATAGTATAGATAGATAGATAGATAGATAGATAGATAGATAGATAGATAGATCGATAGCTAGCTCGCTCGATAGATCGCTCGCTCGCTCGCTCTCGCTCTCGCTCGCTCGCTCGCTCGTCGCTCGCTCGCTCGCTCGCTCGCTCGCTCGCTGCTCGCTCGCTCGCTCTCTCGCTCGCTCGCTCGCCGCTCGCTCGCCTGCTCGCTCGCCCGCTCGCTCGCTCGCTCGCTCCTCGCTCGCTCGCTCGCTCGCTCGCTCGCTCGCTCGCTCTCTCGCTCCTCGCTCGCTCGCTCGCTCGCTGCTCGCTCGCTCCGCTCGCTCGCTCGCTCGCTCGCTCGCTCTCGCTCGCTCGCTCGCTCGCTCGCTAGCTCGCTCGCTCGCTCGCTCGCTCGCTCGCTCGCTCGCTCGCTCGCGCTGCTCGCTCGCTCGCTCGCTCGCTCGCTCGCTCGCTCTCGCGCTCGCTCGCTCGCTGTCGGTCGCTCGCTCGCTCGCTCGCTCGCTCGCTCGCTCGCTCGCCCCCTCGCTGCCCCCCCCACCCCCCGCCCTTCCCTGCCGCTTCACCTTCCGCGTCCGTTCCTCTTTCCGCCCGGGCCCCTTCGTCCTCTGCGTTCTCCTTTGTTGCCCTGTGTCCCTTCTCCCTCTCACCCCGCTCTCGGCCTGTTGGCTTGCCCCGTCCTTTCGCCCTCCCCTCCCGCTTTTTCCCCCCCCCCCCCCGCCTTTCTCTGTCTCCCCCCCCCTTCCGTTTCCCCTTCTTTGCCTTCCTCCTCCTCCTCCTCTCCCCTCCTACTCCCCCCTCAAAACCCTAGAAATCACCTTTTTTAATAATTGATTTACCATTTACAGTTTTCTTATAAATAATAACATTTATTAACAAATGATTATGATTTTTTGTTTATTTTATAATTTAACACAAAAGAAATTTTCAAAAAAAAACACCATACCTATTTTTATCTGTGAACATGTTTAATTTACTTAAATTTTTTCATTGCAAATAGGCCAAAAAGTGTGTACATGTCCAATGACCGATGCGCGCGATGGCCACGACGTTACCTTATAAAACAAAAACCTAATATACCTAAAATCAAAAATTAAAAAACCAAATAATAAGCTCTATAACTTAATAAAAAAAAAAACAAACAATTATAAACACAAAACTGAAAGTTAAAAAGCCGGTAAAAATCTATTAAACAAAATCATGGCTCAACAAAACATCTGCCTACAAAAGAAACCTAAAGCAAAAAAAAAAGCACCAAGCAAGCAGTTGGGTTTAAAAAAGCTAGAAAAATGTAAACTACAAACTAGTTACTGCAAATAATAAAACTGTATATGCCAAAGGGGTCAGTCAGTCAGTCAACATCCTTTAATTGTTGAAGTTTGAAGCAGCAACAGATAAAACCTTAAAGGTTTGTTTAATGGACAGAGACCAGTTAGACAAATGGATGTCTAAAACTCTTATAAAAAGAGGCCATAAACAACCTCATCTACAACAATAATTAAAATTCCAACAAACATCTACAACAAATATAATAAAACTGTAGCATCCTAAACAAAAATTGTTATTGTTATATTTTCATCAATTTTGAAAATCAAACCATGTCTCCTTAGTTGTGTTGGTAATTTAATTTTTACAAAAATACAAAACTAAAAAAACCATACAAATCTTTAACAAAAACATTTTCTAATTTTTTCAACTCTCTCTTCTTTTAAAATACACACACACCCACATCAAAGTAAGAAAAATAAAGAAAATTGTAAAGTATCTCTGGATTTTGTTAACAACAAGTATCAACATTTTTCATATAATTTTCTCTATTTGTTTACAACTAATTCTCCTTTTAATCCTTAATATCAAGAAAAGAAAAAAAGCAATTATCGTCTCTTCTCAGCCTGATGATGTTGTTGATTTACTTTCTTCTTCGTTTATAAGCAGTTGTTTGTGGAGTATTTTGCTTTGGAATTGTATTACTACTACAACTATCTAAAAACAACCTTTATTGGGTCGTCACATAGTATTAATTTCATATTTTTCATATACAAGGTGAGTGTTCAGTTGTTGGTTTTATCAATGCCTTTGTTTAATTGTATATTATGTATTCTATTAATTTCTTTTTTTAAAGGATACATTGTTGTTCAAAAAAAGGTAAATGCTCGACCAACTAAACAACTTTTGTAAACCCTATGTATAAGTGGATCAAGGTAAAAATAATATATATACTACATAAAAAGTGATTGTATGAAGTAAAATTTAAATTAAATATGAGACAAATATTAAGTGTTAATAACAAACACATATGTATAGGATATACATATGTATGTATATATAAGATTGTTATATTTGGCAAAGCCGAATCTTATATATCCATCATCAAATCACATAAATTTCTAAATTTTGAATGGCGACCCATTTCTAGTTTAGTTCTGTTAATATGGTTACATTCAATTATAATTCAATTCTAGTTCAATTCCACTTAAGTTCTAGTTCAGTTCTAGTTTAGTTCAGTTCTAGTTTAGTTCAGTTCCAATTCAGTTCTACTTCAGTTATAATCAAGTTAATTTCTAGTTAAGTTCTAGATCAGTTCTAGTTCAGTTCTAGTTCAGTTTTAGTTCAGTTCTAGTTCAGTTCTAGTTCAGTTCTAGTTCAGTTCTAGTTCAGTTCTAGTTCAGTTCTAGTTCAGTTCTAGTTCAGTTCTAGTGCAGTTCTAGTGCAGTTCTAGTTCAGTTCTAGTTCAGTTCTAGTTCAGTTCTAGTTCAGTTCTAGATCAGTTCTAGTTCCGTTCTAGTTCAGTTCTAGTTCAGTTCTAGTTCAGTTTTAGTTATTTCTAGTTCAGTTCTAGTTCAGTTCTATTTCAGTTCTAGTTCAGTTCTAGTTCAGTTCTAGTTCAGTTCTAGTTCAGTTCAAGTTCAGTTCTAGTTCAGTTCTAGTTCAGTTCTAGATCAGTTCTAGTTCAGTTCTAGTTTAGTTCTAGATCAGTTCTAGTTCAGTTCTAGTTCAGTACTAGATCAGTTCTAGTTCAGTTCTAGTTCAGTTATAGTTCAATTCTAGTTCAGTTCTAGTTCAGTTCCAGTTCAGTTCCAGTTCAGTTCCAGTTTAGTTCTAGTTCCGTTCTTGTTCAGTTCTAGTTCAGTTCTTGTTCAAGTTCAGTTCTTGTTCAGTTCTAGTTCAGTTCTAGTTCAGTTCTATTTCAGTTCTAGTTCAGTTCTAGTTCAGTTCTAGTTCAGTTCAAGTTCAGTTCTAGTTCAGTTCTAGTTCAGTTCTAGATCAGTTCTAGTTCAGTTTCTAGTTAGTTCTAGATCAGTTCTAGTTCAGTTCTAGTTCAGTACTAGATCAGTTCTAGTTCAGTTCTAGTTCAGTTATAGTTCAGTTCTAGTTCAGTTCTAGTTCAGTTCCAGTTCAGTTCCAGTTCAGTTCTAGTTCCGTTCTTGTTCAGTTCTAGTTCAGTTCTTGTTCAAGTTCAGTTCTTGTTCAGTTCTAGTTCAGTTCTAGTTCAGTTCTAGTTCAGTTCTAGTTCAGTTCTAGTTCAGTTCAAGTTCAGATCTTGTTCAGTTCTGTTTCAGTTCTAGTTCAGTTCTAGTTCAGTTCAAGTTCAGATCTTGTTCAGTTCTGTTTCAGTTCTAGTTCAGTTCTAGTTCAATTCTAGTTCAGTTCTAGTTCAGTTCAAGTTCAGATCTAGTTCAGTTCTTGTTCAGTTCTGTTTCAGTTCTAGTTCTGTACTAGTTGAGTTCAAGTTCATTTTTAGTTTAGTTCTGGTTCAGTTCTACTTCTGTACTAGTTGAGTTCTAGTTCATTTCTAGTTTAGTTCTGGTTAAATTCTACTTCATTTTTAGTTCCTTTCTAGTTTAGTTCTAATTCAGTTCTATTTAAGTTCTTGTTCAGTTCTAGATTAGTTCAATTTCAGTTTTAGTTCAGTTCTAATTTAGTTCTAGTTCCGCTCTAGTTCAGTTCAGTTCTAGTTCAGTGAAGTTCCGTTTTAGTTCAGTTCTAATTCAGTTCAATTCAGTTCTAGTTCAGTTCTAGTTCAGTTCTTATTCAGTTCCAATTCAGTTCAAGTTCTATTTAAGTTCTCGGTCATTTCTAGTTGAGTTCCGGCTCAATTCTACTTCAGTTCCATTTAAGTTCTAAATCAGTTCTAGTTCAGTTCTATTTAAGTTCTAGTTCAGTTCTAATATACATAGTTCTAGTTCAGTTCTAGACCAGTTCAGTTCTAGTTCGAGTTGAGTTCGTGTTCAGTACTAGTTGAGTTCTAGTTTATTTCTAGTTGATTTGTGATTCAGTACTACTTTATTTCTATTTAAGTTCTAGTTAAGTCTAATTCAGTTCAAACTCGGTTCAGTTCTAGTTCTAGTTCAGTTCTAGTTGAGTTTTAGTTCAATTCTAGTTCAGTTCTATTTCAGTTCTGCTTCAGTTCTAGGGCACGTCTAATTCAGCTATAGTTCTAGTTTAGTTTAGTTCTAGTACATTTTTATCTAATTTTTAGTTCTGTTCTAGTTCCATTCATTTCACCATTCAGTTCTAGTTCATTTACATTTTGCTTTCTTCAGCAACACAGATTAGTATGCTCTTATGTAAGCTCGCATATGCTTCTTGTTATTTCATGTCACTTAACCTATCAGGGATGAGTTTAAATAACACTTTAAGAGTAGCCTTTTGTAGCTACAACAGAGAGTATCATTACCCCCACATATGATATCCATAACCGCCTTTGGGGAACTATTTATGTTATAAAACGAACTGCTGGCACCTCGAACTTTCGATATTTATATAGATTTTGTTAAAGTTGGAATATTGTAACTAAACAATATTAATACGTCATTTCTACTTTTTCTCTCTTTATATTCTATGTAGATTAATACAATTCCAAGCAAAAAATGCATGCAAACTTCTACGTTGAAAAAAGTAAAGAAAAACAATAAATCATGGGTAAATAAAACAAAGACAAAACAAATTATTTCTTATATAAAAAACTACTACCAGAACATTTTTACAAACTAATCAAAAAAAACTATTGGCCATTGTAACGCTCAGATCAGGGACAACAAGGGTAAACACACTTAAACACACGCTTACCCAGCAACCAATTGTTTGCTAAACTCCAAGTTTAACTGGCAAGATTACAACTTCCCAAAAAAAAGGAAAGCAAAGGGCTGTAATTAAATTGAAACCATAAAAGAGGCGTTCAGTGGGAGCTAAGGAAGAAGAGAAGGAGATGTGTATAAAGAAAGAGTGGTTTTTTGATAATACATACTAAATTTTTTCTCTTTTTTCTTTACATAACTTATGTATTTCTCTTTTTTTTTTTTAAACAAAACCCTCAAAAAACAACAAAAAAATATTTGCATTTTTCTTTATAGTGGCGAAGAGGATACAGATTCATTGGATATTAAACCACCACAGGCTCATGTATCTCGCGATTCGAGTAGTTCTAGACGTAAGGAAAAATCGAAGGATAAAAAACATTCCAAAGAACGTAGACACAAGGAACGTTACGCCGATGCAGGAGGTGGACGTGATAAAGAAAAGGATTATCATCGAGATAGCCGACAAGTTGAACGTAGAAACGATGTGGAGCGTAAAGAAATAAGACGAGGCAATGGTGAGGAACGTTATCAGCTGCAGAAGAGTGGCTACGATCGGGAGGATTATATGGCTGGAGGAGAAAAGCGTTATCATAAACATTATGATGATGCTGCTACGGGTTCGCGTGGCAGTGGTAATATTTATCATGGCAGTTACCATAGTCATCAGGAACATCAATACCAACATCATCATCATCATCAGCAACAGCAGCAGCATCATCATCATCATCATGCCCAAATACAAATGCAACATCGTCAACGTCAAGATTACTATGAACACCGGAGACAACAAGACTACCATCATCCACCACCCACCGATTATCATGGCCAACGTCATCACCAGCAGCAACACAATCAAGCCTATGAAGTTTCTCGTGGTGGAGCTCAAAAATATCATGATCATGATATGGAGAAACGTAAATATGGCTCATACGATCAAGCCAAAGATCCTGAAAGTCTAGAACAAGACTTACGTTCAAGACTTTTAAGCAAACGTCATAAATATGTTAAAGATGATAGTGCAGAAGAGGTGGGTGTTGCTAGAGATGATTCATATGAACGTTTATATGAGGAGCGAGAACATGAACGTAACTCCAAAGCAGAACGTCGCAAGGCTAGACGTTTAAAGGGGCGCGATGCTATAATAGAAGTGGTAGACAGTCCGGATGCCGAAGAAAATCTACGTCATTCGCAACGCAAAAAACATAAACGCCATAAAGAAAAGCATGAGAAGCGAACAGCCTTAGATGATATTATACCGCCTAAAAATTCAGCAGCTGTTGCTGCCCATTTACCTGTAACAGCAGAAAAGAGACGTTCTCCCGAGGACCCAGAACTTATAGCTCGTAGAGCAAAACTGCTGGCCGCCGAACAAGAAAAGGAGAAACGCAAGGAAATTGCCCGCAAGGAACTAGAAGCACGCCGTGAATTGAGAAGAGATCGTACTTTGGATACTTTAAGTCCCACCGCTGTGGCGGCCAGTGTAACCGCCGGTTTAAATGTTCAAATTAAACGTAAGAAGAGCGACGAAGAGGAAAAAACAAAACGGAAACGTATTAAAAAGTCCAAGGACAGTGAGGAAGATGATGACGAAGATGTTGACCGAGATGAAGAAGACGATGAAGATGCTAGTGACTCTTCCGATGACAGTCGTGACGATGAAGAAGATAGCGTTAGTAACTCTGGCAGCGATAGCGATCACAGTAATTACAAAAAAAGTAAATCGAAAAAGAAGAAACGAGCGAATCATAGTGATGGTGAAGTCTCCTTACCCGAAAGTCCTTTGTCAATAGGAGAATTGTCCAAATCTCCCAATAAATCATCGAAGAAAAAAGCGAAAAAGAAGAAACATTCTGCCAAAAGCAAATATTCCGATGATGAAGACAACGAAGAGGAAGAGGAGAAACATAATAAACGTTCTTCTAGATCCAATTCAATATCACTGTCACCCAGCCGTTCAAGATCGCGAACACGTTCGCATACACCCGCCCGTTCTAGATCACGCTCCAGATCCCGTTCATCACATTCTTCTCTCACGGCTAGCTCTAGATCACGTTCAAGATCTCGTTCATCCGAACGCAGTAGATCAAGATCTCGTTCTCATTCTAGCTCAAGATCACGTTCTCGTTCACGTACCTCCCGCAGTCGTAGTCTATCGAAATCACGTTCACGTTCTCGTTCAGATTCACGTACGCGCAGTGAAGAACGTGATATGAAGGCCAATTCACGCAAAGAGGAGAAGGAATCAAAAGACAAATTGTCCTCCTCAGAGGCGGATAAGAGAAATCACGAAGATGCTGAAGATTTGCCCGCCATGGATGACAAAGGTAATCCCTTACCCAATTACTATCCCGGTATACAGGGTTGTCGTTCGGTAGAAGAGTTCCAATGCCTTAATCGCATAGAGGAGGGTACTTATGGTGTTGTTTATCGCGCCAAAGATAAACGTACAAATGAAATTGTCGCCCTTAAACGGCTCAAAATGGAAAAAGAAAAAGAAGGCTTTCCCATTACCTCACTGCGTGAAATCAATACTTTACTCAAGGGTCAACATCCCAATATTGTTACGGTGCGCGAAATAGTTGTCGGTTCAAATATGGATAAAATTTTCATTGTTATGGATTATGTAGAACACGATTTGAAATCGTTAATGGAAACTATGAAGGCGAAAAAGCAATCCTTTTTCCCCGGTGAAATTAAATGTCTAACGCAACAGCTGCTCAGAGCAGTGGGTCATTTGCATGACAATTGGATTTTGCACAGAGATTTGAAGACCTCTAATCTTTTGCTATCGCACAAAGGCATTTTGAAAGTGGGCGATTTTGGTTTGGCGCGTGAATATGGTTCTCCATTAAAGAAATATACCTCATTGGTGGTGACATTGTGGTACAGAGCTCCAGAGTTGCTGTTATGTTCGCCCGAATATTCGACACCAATTGATATATGGTCGGTGGGTTGTATATTTGCAGAATTTCTACAAATGGCTCCTATATTCCCAGGAAAATCCGAGGTGGATGAATTAAATCGGATATTTAAGGTAAATTTTGATTATCTATTTATCTATCTATCTATCTATCTATCTATCTATCTATCTATCTATCTATCTATCTATCTATCTATCTATCTATCTATCTATCTATCTATCTATTTATCTATCTATCTATCTATCTATCTATCTATCTATCTATCTATCTATCTATCTATCTATCTATCTATCTATCTATCTATCTATCTATCTATCTATCTATCTATCTATCTATCTATCTATCTATCTATCTATCTATCGAACAACATACGACGTATCTCGCGGAGGGCGGGTACTAGGTGGCTCATTCACGGCGTTATGCCGTTCTTCCGAATACCTACTTTGGTTCCCATTGGTCTTTTAATGCCGTTGACTTCCGTCAATGAGTAGATGCCACAGTGATGTCATGCTCCTCGTCAGAATACAAAGTCTTCCTCCCAAAGTTCGGAGTGACAGAAATTTCCCCAAAAGAGTCATTCTATAGCCCTTGAACAGCCCCTTAAAAACTGTCCCTCATGTTCTACGATCCTAACATGAACATCAGTCAGGGTCATACCATCAGTTCTTTCAGCTCTTCTTAAATCAAGTTGATTGAAAATTGTAAAGCGACTATTTAGGACACATTTTTGTTCCCACGATTAGACATTTTCCGCCGGACTATCCATTCACTGATGATGTATAGGGATTAGGCTGATAGCTTACTACAGCGCTTTAATCAGCTAGGTTATTTATGCATAAAGTAGCCTGCCATGCCCTCGGCATTGCTGCCAACCACATTGAATTTAAAAGTGCTTTTAGAACGCGTAACCCCTTGAGTAATTCTCTTATCAATGAAAAAGGAGCTACTTACTTACTTACTCACTTACTTAGTTACTTACTTACTTACTTACTTACTTACTTACTTACTTACTTACTTACTTACTTACTTACTTACTTACTTACTTACTTACTTACTTACTTACTTACTTACTTACTTACTTACTTACTTACTTACTTACTTACTTACTTACTTACTTACTTACTTACTTACTTACTTACTTACTTACTTACTTACTTACTTACTTACTTACTTACTTACTTACTTACTTACTTACTTACTTACTTACTTACTTACTTACTTACTTACTTACTTACTTACTTACTTACTTACTTACTTACTTACTTACTTACTTACTTACTTACTTACTTACTTACTTACTTACTTACTTACTTACTTACTTACTTACTTACTTACTTACTTACTTACTTACTTACTTACTTACTTACTTACTTACTTACTTACTTACTTACTTACTTACTTACTTACTTACTTACTTACTTACTTACTTACTTACTTACTTACTTACTTACTTACTTACTTACTTACTTACTTACTTACTTACTTACTTACTTACTTCTAATTCTAATTAACTCCCAAGTATCCACATCTTCAAGTATCACATTCTTCAAACATATTAATTTTCATTTGACTTCTTTTTCCATTTATAGGAACTGGGAACTCCCAACGAGAAAATTTGGCCTGGCTACAATCAACTACCAGCGGTCAAAAATATGCTTAGCCAAAACTCGCAATTTGCCGATTATCCCGTGTCCAGTTTGAGAAAACATTTTGCCGACAAAACTTCCGAAGCCGGCATTGACTTATTACAGGGTCTTTTAACCTATGATCCCAAACAAAGATTGTCCGCCGATACCGCATTAAAACATCAATATTTCAAAGAACTGCCAGTACCTATTGATCCATCCATGTTTCCCACCTGGCCAGCTAAAAGTGAATTGGGTGCACGCAAAGCTCTGGCCTCCTCACCGAAACCACCTTCCGGAGGTTCCCAATTTAAACAATTGGGTAAAGATGATCTGGCTGGCACCGGTAGTGGCGGTAAAATTATATCTGGCATTATAACCGGAAATAAGAAAACTTCTGCTAATACCGGCTTTGTCCTAAATGCTGGTATCGATCAAAGACAATTAGCCATGGGACCCGGTTTTAATTTGAAATTCTAAACAGTTTCGTTTCTTCTATGCGTGTAATAGACTTTTAATCTCTTAAACAAAAACATCTTAAAGATTAATTAAATTGCCACAACGTTTTTTGTTAATTTTTTTTATTATACTTACATAGTAAATAAGTCGTGTCCTTATAGGGGTGTGTTAAATTTAAATCGCAAAACATTAAATATTAACCGTCATTATATCAGATTTTTTATAACAACATCATTGTTATTGAAAGCTTAGTTTAAAGCTTATAAACATTTACACAATACTATATAAACTCTTTATATTTTTATATTAGTACATACTTATTAAATTAAATCAAAATGTGTAATTTCCTTTTTTCTTCTTTATTTTCCACAAAATTTTCTTAATTTTAGTTTTTTTCTTTTTTTTTTTTGTTTTCTTTTCTTAAGTTATGTTTATTCTTTAATATTTTTACAAAATATCGTAAGTTATTCCTAAAAAAAATAAAACAACAAAAAAATATGAAAACATGTAAAAAATACATAAATATATAGTTTTGGATAAAAACTTAAAAAAATGGAGTCTTGTTTTAGATAATAATAAGAGGTCAAAGGTTACACTAATACTTGAGGAGAAGCCTCTTAACTCAAAAGTTAAGAGACTTAAAGTATACTATTGCGAAGACTACAGTCAAGATTATGGACAAGAATATAGACAAGGCTATAGACTAGAATATAGTCAAGACTATAGACTAGAATATAGTCCAGACTATATATTAAACTATAGTCCAGATTATAGACTAGACTATAGTCCAGACTATAGACTAGACTATAGTCCAGACTATAGACTAGACTATAGTCCAGACTATAGACTAGACTATAGTCCAGACTATAGACTAGACTATAGTCCAGACTATAGACTAGACTATAGTCCAGACTATAGACTAGACTATAGTCCTGACTATAGACTAGACTATAGTCCAGACTATAGACTAGACTATAGTATGGACTAAAGACTAGACTATAGTCCAGACTATAGACTAGACTATAGTCCAGACTATAGACTAGACTATAGTCCAGACTATAGACTAGACTATAGGCCAGACTATAAACTAGACTATAGTCCAGACTATAGACTAGACTATAGTCCAGACTATAGACTAGACTATAGTCCACACTATAGACTAAACTATAGTCCAGACTATATACTATACTATAGTCCAGCCTATAGACTATACTATAGTCCAGACTGTAGACTATACTATAGTCCAGACTATACACTATACTATAGTGCAGACTATAGACTATACTATTATCCAGACTATAGACTTCACTATAGTCCAGACTATAGACTAGACTATAGTCCAGACTATAGACTAGACTATAGTCCAGACTATTGACTAGACTATAGTCCAGACTATAGACTAGACTATAGTCCAGACTATAGACTATACTATAGTGCAGACTGTAGACTAGACTATAGTCCAGACTATACACTATACTATAGTGCAGACTATAGACTTCACTATAGTTCAGACTATAGACTTCACTATAATCCAGACTATAGACTTCACTATAGTCCAGACTATAGACTACACTATAGTCCAGACTATAGACTACACTATAGTTCAGACTATAGTATCGACTATTGTATAGACTATAGTATCGACTATAGACTAAACTATAGTATCGACTATAGACTAGACTATAGTCCAGACTATAGACTAGACTATAGTCCATACAATAGACTAGACTATAGTCCACACTATAGACTAGTCCAGACTATAGACTATACTATAGTCTAGACTATAGACTATACTATAGTGCAGACTATAGACTATACTATAGTTCAGACTATAGACGGACTATAGTCCAGAATATAGACTAGACTAGACTATAGTCCAGACTATAGTCCAGACTATAGACTAGACTATAGTCCAGACTATACACTATACTATAGTGCAGACTATAGACTATACTATTATCCAGACTATAGACTTCACTATAGTCCAGACTATAGACTAGACTATAGTCCAGACTATAGACTAGACTATAGTCCAGACTATAGACTAGACTATAGTCCAGACTGTAGACTAGACTATAGTCCAGACTATACACTATACTATAGTGCAGACTATAGACTATACTATTATCCAGACTATAGACTTCACTATAGTCCAGACTATAGACTAGACTATAGTCCAGACTATAGACTAGACTATAGTCCAGACTATAGACTAGACTATAGTCCAGACTATAGACTAGACTATAGTCCAGACTATTGACTAGACTATAGTCCAGACTATTGACTAGACTATAGTCCAGACTATAGACTATACTATAGTGCAGACTGTAGACTAGACTATAGTCCAGACTATACACTATACTATAGTGCAGACTATAGACTTCACTATAGTTCAGACTAAAGACTTCACTATAATCCAGACTATAGACTTCACTATAGTCCAGACTATAGACTACACTATAGTCCAGACTATAGACTACACTATAGTTCAGACTATAGTATCGACTATTGTCTAGACTATAGTATCGACTATAGTATCGACTATAGACTAAACTATAGTATCGACTATAGACTAGACTATAGTCCAGACTATAGACTAGACTATAGTCCATACAATAGACTAGACTATAGTCCCACACTATAGACTAGTCCAGACTATAGACTATACTATAGTGCAGACTATAGACTATACTATAGTGCAGACTATAGACTATACTATAGTTCAGACTATAGACGGACTATAGTCCAGAATATAGACTAGACTATAGTCCAGACTATAGACTAGACTATAGTCCAGACTAAGACTAGACTATAGTCCAGACTATAGACTAGACTATAGTCCAGACTATAGACTAGACTATAGTCCAGACTATAGACTAGACTATAGTCCAGACTATAGACTAGACTATAGTCCAGACTATAGACTAGACTATAGTCCAGAATATAGACTAGACTATAGTCCAGACTATAGACTAGACTATAGTCCAGACTATAGACTAGACTATAGTCCAGACTATAGACTAGACTATAGTCCAGACTATAGACTAGACTATAGTCCAGACTATAGACTAGACTATAGTCCAGACTATAGACTAGACTATAGTCCAGACTATAGACTAGACTATAGTCCAGACTATAGACTAGACTATAGTCAGACTATAGACTAGACTATAGTCTGGACTATAAGACTAGACTATAGTCCAGACTATAGACTAGACTATAGTCCAGACTATAGACTAGACTATAGTCCAGACTATAGACTAGACTATAGTCCAGACTATAGACTAGACTATAGTCCAGACTATAGACTAGACTATAGTCCAGACTATAGACTAGACTATAGTCCAGACTATAGACTAGACTATAGTCCAGACTATAGACTAGACTATAGTCCAGACTATAGACTAGACTATAATCCAGACTATAGACTAGATTATAGACTAGAATATAGCCAAGAATGTAAGACTAGACTATAGTCAAGATTATAGACTAGACAATAGGCAAGACTATAGACAATATTGTTGACCAGACTATAGTTAAGACTAGACTATAATCAAAGAATAGTTCATAGTTTAATCGGTAAAAAACCGTTATATTTCTTTAATTTAATTCACATCACATTTACTTTGCCCAGCTGTTTGTTCCATTCCATACAGCTGTTGTGGAAATGCTGCCAAGTTTGAAAATGAAAACACTCAGCTGTTGTTATTTACAAAAATAACACAATAAACAAAACATTTTTGGAATAAATTTTAAGATTTTATATAAGAAATTTTTTTTCGAACAATATAACTATAAATAATGCCTCGTAATCCAAATGCCGAAAGAGATAATCCTTGTTTAAAAGTAAGTAACTATTAGAGCAAAAAAAAAATTATTTTCTCAACTTTAAAACATTCTAGGAGCAAGAACTATCCTACAAGTGTTTGAGTAAAAAACAATTATGATAGAGAAGCCTGTGAGGTGTATTTTGCCAATTATAAAAATTGCAAAGATTTCTGGGTATGTATGCATTATAGATCTTTAAAATCATACTTAATATAAAAACTTTTTCAGCACAAAATACGTTCCGATCGTAGAGCTAAAGGTATAGCGCCCTATTTGCCGCCCGTGGAGGAAAGAGAAGCTATTAAGGCGGAGTAATATGAAAACTAAACCTAAAGCTAATTAGAACTGATAAGATTTATGATAGTCATTTTAGATTTATTGTAAATAAATAACAATTTTGTACAGAAACTTAAATTTGAAAGAACTGCAGAATTATTTTTCATGCAATGAGGCCGGCATTGACAATTTTTAGTTTAGGCAAAGCCTCTTCCAACATAGAACAAGTTAATTCATATTCCAAAGACTCTTTGGGATCATCTACTACCAAAAGTTTTAAATTAGTTAAACGATAGAGGCAGGATAAACCACGAGCAGTGCACTGGGTACCCGATATATCCAGAATTCCAATTTATGACATTGCGAGCCAGAAACTCTATCCAAACACCAATCATCGAAAGTTTTAACATTATGAAATGATAGAAATTTCAATTCCTGCAGCCAACGTATATTTTCCAAACCCTCATAGTACAAAGTCATATTGTCACAACGTACAGCCTCCACTTTGAATTGAGCATGATAGGTGCTTGGTAGTTTAAATTCTCCATTCTCATCTGCTTTCATCCAATTTTGACTATTGAGAAATTTAACAGCGCCACCACGATGCAGTATAAAATGTGCAGTGGCTAAATCGGGTCCCAATATCTCATGTCTCTCGGGCATAAATTGCTGCATATGTCGCTCTTTCTTTTCCTTTTTCTTCTCCAACATGGCTAGCCATTCCTTGGGATTAAGATTAATGGGTTTTTGCATCATTATTATAGTCGGATGTTTGTTCTTGATTGGCAAACAACTTTAGCTTAGTATCAACATCTCCAGCCTCTTCATTAGTTTTGCGCCATTTCAAAGCCTGTTTATCACGCTCCAATTCCTCACGTATACGTTTTTGTACTTGCGACTCACGACGGCCATTGGTCTCATCACTTAGATTTCTTAA